ATTGTTATACACTACTTGTTAATCTATGAGCTGAGTTCTCTGTGGATGTTAAGTGGTACTGGAAGTTCACAAATGTCCAATGTCCTTAGAAATGTTTACCTTACCTTTGCTTGTGTTCTCATTTTCATTCAAAGCGTAGGGAACTGCATAACGGCGTGCAAAGAAAACTAACTAGTATGTCATTCTCACTCGACCCTAAAAGTTTCTCACGATATATAATCTCTTAAAGTACATCTGTAATTGGAATGTCATCAAAAATATTCCCGAAACGTACTCCACTCGCCCGACTGTAAACTCCACTAGTCGCAGGCTATCGGACACTACTTTCTTTGCATGTTAATTATGAAGAAAAGTAGCCCAGAAACTACTTTAGGAAACCAAGGACACTCAAAAGCTTGTGTTTGAGTGAATGTCCTGTGACTCAGCATCCATTCCTCTAAGCTAAAGAAGAACTTGGTCACTGTGTCTTCTAAAAACCGTTACAGACTACATGTAGCGTTGCTCTATCATATGGCTAATTTTTATGCTTCAGAAGAGAAAATGCCCAGTTAAAATGCTAGGAAATGCAAAATGCTATTTAAGCCAGTTTAAAATGATAGTTGCATTAGTGGCAAAACTTGAGCCTTACCTTGACCTGTGAGTCAAAGATGGGGTTACATCTCGTCGTTGCTAGTGAGTTTGAACACTCGGCTCGCACGCCGATAATGTTCTCTAAGCCTTATTTTTTCATTAAAATGTCAACAAATATTGGCTAGAATAGTGCTTTAATCTTGTTACTATTTGTTGCAAACGATGGTGTTGCTCTCTTCTCATAGTTACGGCCAAGAACAGCTAAAAGCAACAGAATATTCCAGGTCCTGAGTGCAAGAATGGTTCCTTTACCAGGTTCAGGTAGGCTATGGAATCTTACGTCATAAACAGCGGTATTCATTGTGTAGGAATATTCAAAATGTTTTCCACGAATTTTCACATAACCTTAAAATTGTGGCGGAGAGAAAACGGTGTCTTGTAGACTTTTGTCCTTGGTTTCTGCAATCTTGTCAAATCCCTTGAATCCAAGTTACTGTACAAAGTAGCCCTAAGTAATCAGTGTAATATCTGATCAGTGTAATCAGTGTAATATCTCATCAGTGTAATCAGTGTTATAGCTGGTCAGTGTAATCAGTGTTATAGCTATACATACCTTGATAGATGTAACTAATCATCGGGCTTTTGCTATTAGGAGTCGAAGTTCTTAGCCGACATGTGGGGGTTGTAATATGGGATAACGGCAAAAAACAGGTACATTAACAAGTTGAACAAGTCATGTCACGTACTTTGTAGTCAATCAACTTGATAAAGCGGTATTGAAATCATAATACCGTGAGCTATCGGATGAAGTCTACAGGAAGAAAAGAAACTGATTGTATTTTTGAATATCTGAGGGCAAAGAGCCTTAGGTAAACTTAAGCCTTGGGTACGCTTATTGATTATGATTTCGAGTTTGAAGTATGATGAGATAGCAGAGTCCTTAGATACATCTACTTTCAAATTGACCTATTAAATATTTGATCTTTTTTG